TCCTTTCTATATATTTATTGAGATGTTATATGTGCTGATGTATATGCACGAACTTCATTTCTTAAGGAATGAAAAAAAAAACAACATATCACTAGAGATCAAAAGTAGATCAAAGATAGAGGGTAAGATTAAAAAAGCGACCATGTCAACGTGCGACATCATCATAACCACATTTCATACATATGTTATTAACTCATCGTTGTGTATGCATTCTATGATAACACATTATCTAAGGAAAAAATAGACTAATCAAATTAACATTCCAAAAATTGGTTTAAATTTTATTGATAAATCATTCAATATAATTCGCTACCTGAATTCTAAGCGATCGAAATCTCCAATCCCTTCTCAGAAGAAGTAATCATTAAACACGACAAAACGAGTAAGAAAACGTTGTCATGCGAAACGGAGAGAGCCTTATACGTGCAAAGGAAGACGAAGAAAGGTGAAAGTAAGAAACCATACAATATTATCTGTAATATACATATGCACATCACAACTAATGAAAAAGACGAATCTGCCGTCTCATTTCTTCCTAGACAATCAAGCGCATCTTTATTGGATGCGAACAACGCATTAGACGGAGTTACACTCTCATTTCATGAAATAAGCTACACTGTTGGCGAATCTACAACAGCGAAAGTCAGTTCAAAAGTACAGACGCAATTGCCTTCGTTTTGTCGATCGACACCAAGCAAACAAATTCTGTTCAATGTTTCGGGTGACTTTACGCCAGGGATGAACGCCATTCTAGGTATGATCCGTGTCATACACGCATTTCTCGGTGTTGAAAAATTATATTTTCTATTTCAATGAATAAAATTTGAATCTATCCATCGGAGATTAGGCCAAACAGGATGCGAAAAATCGACTCTGCTTGACATTCTGGCTAATCGAAAAGATCGTCGTAGCTTTTCTGGTCATGTATTTGTTTCCGGAAAATCTCGATGTTCTTCGTTCAAATCTTTGATTGGTTACGTTGTTCAAGATGGTAAATGAAGTCAAAAATCGATTTCTTCTCACTCTATTGACATTCTTTATCCATTTAGACATCATCAGTGGTACATTGACTGTTCGAGAAAATCTCATGTTTTCAGCCAATATTCGCCTATCACAATCAGTGCCGAGAAATGAGCGCATTGATCGAGTCAATCAAGTCATTCAAGATTTACATCTTGAGGAATGTGCTGACACTCGTATTGGAACTGATTTAGTTCGAGGAGTATCAGGTGGAGAAAGAAAACGAACATGTATCGGAATGGAGCTCGTGCTATTGCCAAAGATTCTTTTCTTAGACGAGCCAACTACAGGTTCGATCTGTTTTTTGCATTGTCAAAATGAGCTTCATCTCTTTTTACCAAGGTCTCGATGCATCGACAGCTGGTGATGTGATGAAATGTCTTCGTCATCTCTCACAACAAGGATGTGAGATGTTCTTGTTCTAAGAGCCAGATTGACATTTTCTTTTCCAGGTACCATTATCTTTTCGATTCATCAGCCACGTTATTCGATCTTCAAGTTATTCGACACCGTACTTCTGCTTTCTCGTGGACACCCAATTTATTATGGTCCATCAACGCAACTTCTGCCTTACTTTGCTGCTCAAGGTTTTATCTGCGAAGAGCATGACAATCCAGCCGATTTTGCCCTGGATGTACTCATTGCCTTACATGATGATTCTTTCATGGCACTTTGCAACGCTTATCTGCAATCAAATATATCTTCAAACAACGCTGCTCTGATCATTGATAATCAAGAGGAAAATGATCTTTCCCTATTAAAGACAGCGGCTCGATCACAATTGAAAGAATTTTATTATCTAGCACAGCGGACAGTTCGTAACGCCATACGAAATCCAGAATTGGCAGTTTCACAAATTGTTGTTGCTCTCATGGTGGCAATTCTTATAGGTCTGATCTACAATCAAATGAAGCCAACCATAGATGCAGGCGTTCAAAATCGTCTTGGAGCCATTTTTTTCATTGTTGTAAGTCAAGTATTCAGCACGCAAACTGCCTTAGAGCCATTTCTCAAAGAACGAGTGCTTTTCATTCACGTAAATATCTGTTAGAAGAACCTCACCAAGAAAATGATTCATTTATTCTCTTTTTGCAGGAAAACATCAGCGGATATTATCGTGTATCAACTTTTTTCGTTGCTAAAGTCGTGTGTGATCTTCTTCCAATGCGTGTCATACCGTCGGTATTGTTCTCTCTCATTACTTTTTACATGACCGGTCTTCAGCGATCAGTCAGTCGATTTTTTGTCTTTCTCACAACTGTCTTCATGGCCAATGTATTTGGTGCGGCAATGTGTTTCTTTGTTGCTGCTTCAATACCGATATACGGTAGGTTTCTCATACTTAGTTGAACATGTTTCGTATAGAATGATCTATTACATAGCCGTGACATTGATTGTTGTCGTATTCGGCTTTGTCGTCATGATGATGTTCAGTGGATTTCTTGTCGATTTACCAAGTATCTTTGCTTCTCTTCGATGGATTCAATGGGTGAGTGCTATTCGATATGCATCAAATATACTAACAATCAACGAGTTTCGGAATTTGAAATTATGTTTATCAAATAATACGAGTGTATGTCCATTGACTGGCGAACAAGTGTTGACTCAACGTGAGATCGATCATATTACTGGCTGGGATATGTGGAAAAACTTTCTTGCTTTGTCAATCATGACCGTTGTGTTTCTTGTTATGGCCTATATTCAACTGTTACGCATAAAAAAACAGAAATAATACTACTGATTTAGTCGAAATCGAAAATGAAATGAAATTGATCTTGAAGCATCGATTCATGATAAAATAAAATTTTTCTCTGAAACATCATGCAAAGCAAACTTTCTCTAACAAGTATCGTCGCACTTGAAGAATAAGATGTGAATATTTCATTTCGAGATCCATAGTCTCATTTTTTTTAATTTTTTTGGCTGTCCAGGCAGTTAGAAATTGTTAAAAAGCGCCGAAACCACAAAAAAGTATCAGTATCATATATCGATAACGTGAAACGAGTCGGTTCGAGTCACTAAACGACCCTTTTTGTGTTATTTCCACCGTTTTTACTTACTTGTTTAATCGATTTCAAAACATAAGTTCTTTTTTCTGAAAAACCATATTTCGTTTTGTACAAAGCAAAAACTTTGAATTCTTTATTATTTCTTCCCACAAGTTGACTGCTGAACAGCAAGCGGGTGTGGGTGTTGGTTATCTTTCAGTAACACACACATACACACCCTTTTTTTTGAGTAGAAAGTAGTAGACCTCATTGGAATGTTGAGAAGAACGAATAACAGCATTCCTTCACCACTGTTAGCATACGATAAAAATCGCGCATTAAAACAGTTGCATTTGAGAAAATAATTTTGATCAAACAAAAGATTCTATTTACGGTGCATCATATAAATCATACATATTTTTGCTAAGAGCTATGATGTACTCTGCAGCTGTGGGTGTGGGTGTGGGTGTGGGTGTGGGTGTGGGTGTGGGTGTGGGTGTGGGTGTGGGTGTGGGTGTGGGTGTGGGTGTGGGTGTGGGGGTGGGTGTGGGTGTGG